CGGTTACGAAGGGGGGGAGTGACTGGGCTATATTGGGCCACCCCCTCTACCTCTTTTAAGAGGCGGCTTGGGGATGTTACAGGTTTTAAGTCTATTTTTTATCAATTTTATTATTGTAACTCTTCCATGTAAGAATGTTATAAACGATATTTATAGACACAATAATCAGTCATATACATCTCCTTCAAATCTGGCTACAATCTTTCAAGCCACAATATTTTTTATCTGAAAAATAAGAAATCGGTATTTACTAAAAATCGTTCATATTCAAATTTCAAATTCATTACATTCCATAAAATATTAATATTTAAAAAATAACAATACTAACATACTCAACAAAAACAGTAATATGATCACTAAAAAAATAGTAACATGCTCACAAACAAATAGTAATATGATAAAAAATTAATAACAATTAGAGATTTAATTATGTTAAAGTGGGCATTAACCTTGAAACCAAAATTAAAGATAACTCATACATTAGTACTAAATTAAAGTGTTATAGATTTCGATTTTGTTGGGCAAGACAATTGAGTATTCCTTAGTTGTGTTACTGTGAAAAAAGTTCATATTGTTGTATACGAACCGAAAAATGGAGTTCAAAATTTCGATGTCTTGATGTTTACAATTGGTGTTGAATGTTGTAATTCAACTGTCGATTGTTATTCATCATTTTGTAAATTTTTAATTTATGGATCGTATTTTCACTAAAATCATTAAAAAGTTGATGTTACTATAAAAAATTATTGTCTTGTATTTTATAAAATTAGATGTGTTACTGAACACAAAATTTTGATGTTACTGTGAATATTAAAGTATATGTAACATAATATACGTCTCAAAGTTTGTAATTGTATGTTAAAATTTACTATAGTAATGTTAGTGTCAGTATAGTAACACGACTGTACTGGTAACACGATTCTAATTGAAATTTTAATCAAATAGTAACATGAATGTTACTATATATTAACATTCGTGTTACTGAACTCTGTTGGCATTGTTTAGCCTCCCTATATTATGTATTATTATTATTAAAGAAATTTTGTGATCTGATTTTGATTTAATAGATCAATAATTTGTTCGTACATTAAACTTTTCATATATAACTATCAGAATATACAATTTTCATATAAAACTTTGATTAATTATCATAATATTTAATAAACGGTTTTCATATATGCTTAATCAATGGTTTACATATATGTCTCAATGATCTAACATATATGAATTTCTATAACTAAACAAAACTAATACTGTTAGGAGTAATTTTGAGATTTAAAAAATAAGTGAAATTAAGTAGCTATATATAAGTTTAAACATGGAATTACCTCCAAATAAATTTTCTTGCAGGACTTAAGTCATTATAAGTTCATCTAGTGGGACTCACCCTCAATTTTCACTTTTTTTATAAGTATTCAATATGATCCAAACCAAAAAATTAAACTCAAATAAAATTGAGTCCAAACAAAAATGTCCTATACAGTTCAAAATAAACAAATTTGGGTCCAAAAGTGTTTGCAGCATAACAAAAGTAAAAAACTCATAACCCATTTCGTTAAAAACATGAAATTTTAACAAAAACAAAAGCAGTTATCTAGCTGTCAAATGCAAAAGTGAAAAAATTGGTCAAAGAGTCAATTACATCGATCAAACAAATTCTCTCTCTCCTGTGGCTCTCCCGTTAAAACATCAACCCCCACCCCCCTTCTCTCTCGCACACACACTTAATTTTTGTTTCCATCTAAAAACAAAATAAATGATTATCTCTCTTCTTTGTCTTGTGACCGCCTTTCTAATTCACACAACAAATGTCATCAAATGAGCCGCGGTATATTATTTTATGCTCGCACTTTCTCTTTTTCAATGTTATTTTGTACAAAATATAATTTCAATCAACTTATTCTATTTGTTTTATTTTTTAATAGATGATATTAAAGAAGAATCACATTATAATATCTTTAAGTTTTAGGAACACTAATGATAAAATTAAGCGTTATTGTTTTATAATTTTAATTTTTATTAAGTTTTTTCTTATAGAGAGCATTTGATTGATTTTATAAAAAAAAAATTGAATTGTCAAAAAACTATGTCTACTAAAAAAACAACAATTTAAATACATGGAACTTAAAAAAAACAGAGAAAAATAAACTTATTGAATCACAAAAAAAAAAATCTTTTAATAAATTTACTATTAGTAGTAAAAAAATAACAAAAGTTTTGAATAAACTAGTTATAGATCTTAAATAATTAGATTTTTGTATAATAGATCTGTATTATAGAGGTATTTTAATACCACCAAGAGAGAGAGTATTATAATCCAATTCAAACGTATTATTCTACACATTTTTTTATTATAACCTTCAAGCCAACTGATAAAATCAAGTTGTTATCAATGTTACAAACACTGATTAAATGTATTTTTGTTAATTTAACATTAACACGATGAAATAATTTCCTAACCAAACAGTCGATTGGATTGAATAAGTAATATCCAACGTTATGATGTGTATTGTCAAACTCTATATAAAATTACGTATTATTCTAATACACTATTTAATATTGTCTCTTATCTATTTGTATTATATTAGACTAAATTGTTTATCTAATCCATTTATTTCTAATACGACAACCAAACAAGCCCATACTGACTTGCAAATTAAAAGGACAATTACAGTTTTTAATAGCAAGGCTATACCTTTGAAAGGTAAAATTATAATTGAGTGAGAAAAGTTCATCCATGATCGATTATAAGATTCCCTTNGACAATTACAATTTTTAATAGCAAGGCTATACCTTTGAAAGGTAAAATTATAATTGAGTGAGAAAAGTTCATCCATGATCGATTATAAGATTCCCTTGAGCAATTGTAATTTCTCTTTTACGAGTTATAATTTGACATTTAAAAGTTGTAACTCAATATTTAAAAACTTTTACGATTGATCCTAAAAAACTGTGATCGATTATGATTTTACAAGTTATAATTTATACCTCAAAAGATTGTAACTTCATCTTAAAAAGTTAGTAATTTTTCATATAGTACCGAAGACAGTAGCATAGACTTTCTCAAATTATAAATATCGATTAAACCAACTCGATTGAACTATCCTTGCGAAAGAAATCTTATATTTACCAAAGAAGAAGATTAACCGTACGTTTATAATCTATATGNGTTAGTAATTTTTCATATAGTACCGAAGACATAGACTTTCTCAAATTATAAATATCGATTAAACCAACTCGATTGAACTATCCTTGCGAAAGAAATCTTATATTTACCAAAGAAGAAGATTAACCTTACGTTTATGATCTATAAGACCCAATCTTTTTCATCATTTATGGTAGATGACGTTGATGCAGCAACACTAAGTTTTGTAGGAAGATGTAACTTCANATCTATATGACCCAATCTTTTTCATCATTTATGGTAGATGACGTTGATGCAGCAACACTAAGTTTTGTAGGAAGATGTAACTTCAACGAAATTATTACAACAATGATTTGAATGAGAATGAGAATATAAATCTTACGAATCGTGGAGAGCAAGTTAGCTCATAATCTATCTCATCTAACATACCCAAAAAAGTCTAGGCCCCACCCAGCAAAAGTATTCCCACAAGCAAAATAAGTATCCAATAAGGTCCTCATTCAGTCATAACCAGCCAATACGCAATGCTTCTGTACATAACTAACTTGACGCAATGTCCCCACCACGATGCTCCCTTTGTCCCCATTCACACTGTTGACCCAAAGTCATTGAACATTCTGGAATTCCCCAGATTCTCCCAATAAATAAATTAATACTTGATTTTTTATTTTTTTTTTATATTCCAGTTGTCCTAGTGTATTACTACAGTATTTTTTTTTACTTATGTACCAAATTAATACTGGATCTCGGGTAAAAACGTCTCTTCACACAAGAGGATAAATCTATAGACGATAGCCCTTAGGATACACTCCATGGGATATTCAAACTCGTGTGGTTGAGCTATTGTAAACCAACCCCTACGGTTAATACTTGTTAATTCTATAATATAAAACAGTGCACACTATAATTAGTGTTTAAATTTTTTTATTTTTATTTTATGTTTATAATTTAATTTTGAATACGAATACAAATATATTTATAATTGATAATTTTTTTTATTACACTTTATTTTCAGACACGAACAATATCTACAAAAAGTTATAAACTATAATAATTCTTGGACAAACCGTGGAGCACAAGCTACCTCATAATGTCTGTCATCTAATCTAACATACGAAAAAAATCTATGCCAGCAAAGTAGTATACCCACAAATGTTACTTGCACAAAAAGTAACAAATAAGGTCCTCCTTAAGTCAGAACCTGGCCAAAACGCAAGGCTTTCCGTACATAACTAACTTCACCCAAAGTTTCCTAACCACATGTCGTGTAGTTACTTATTGGTTAGGACTTTATTTCCTCCTAAATTACGAGTACTGCTCCATACTTGGTCACCACGAAATGTTATTTGTGTTATTTCACACACACCTTGATCTATTTAAAGCCAAACACAACAGACTGCCTCGACCATCTAGTTTGATTGAGTAGTGAGAACTGAATGGAGCAGAGTAGCGACAATCGAGGAAGTGGCGGCTCTGGCCGTGGTCATTGCGGCACCAGAAGTAATCGTGGTGGTGGTGGTGGCANCTAACATACGAAAAAAATCTATGCCAGCAAAGTAGTATACCCACAAATGTTACTTGCACAAAAAGTAACAAATAAGGTCCTCCTTAAGTCAGAACCTGGCCAAAACGCAAGGCTTTCCGTACATAACTAACTTCACCCAAAGTTTCCTAACCACATGTCGTGTAGTTACTTATTGGTTAGGACTTTATTTCCTCCTAAATTACGAGTACTGCTCCATACTTGGTCACCACGAAATGTTATTTGTGTTATTTCACACACACCTTGATCTATTTAAAGCCAAACACAACAGACTGCCTCGACCATCTAGTTTGATTGAGTAGTGAGAACTGAATGGAGCAGAGTAGCGACAATCGAGGAAGTGGCGGCTCTGGCCGTGGTCATTGCGGCACCAGAAGTAATCGTGGTGGCGGTGGCGGCAGAGGTGGGAATTACCCACGTAACCAGCACCATCAGCAGGGTCAGTATCAAAGTGGTGGTGGTGGAAGAGGAGTGGGTAGGGGTCGGGTTCCCACCCAGACCGGTGATCAGCAACGGGGTAATAGGCCGGGTCAAGGAGGTCAAGGTGGTGGCAAGTACAGGCCACACCAACAGAGTGGTCAGGGTGTGGGGCCTGCAAGGGTGGAATCAAGTGAAGGGTGTGTGGTTGGTGGACGAGGAGGAGCGGGTGGTGGAAGAGGAGTGTGGACTGCGAGGCCTTCGGGACCCACTTTTGTGCCTGGTCAATCCCAACCTCAGTCCTTGCCTGGTATGCCTCTTAACTTTTTTATTTTACATTTTACTTTGAACATGTATGTGTTAGTAGGGGAGAGAGAGCGTAATGGTACGCTTAAGGTCAGTTGTGTTATCTCTGCGTGTAAGGGATTTATAATTTATAAGTATAGAGTTCTAGCTGTGGTGGTGACGTAACGTCAAGCTACTAAGGCACTATGTTAACAGAATAATGATTATTCGATGATTGTTCTTTCACGTACGTTGACTCTTCCTAAACTCTCGAGGTTTAGACTAGACTGTAATCTTGAGTTAAACCTGATTTGTTTTTTGATGGTTTGAGCTCAATCCATGATTTGGCCTCAAGTCTAGTTTGAATCTGGGCTCGTCAGGTTAGACTCAAATGAGTTGATTAAAGTTAAATAGGGTACAAAACAATAATTTCTACCAGGCATGAATTTGACACGAAACCAACTAGAAATGATTATAACTAAATTGGGTATGAGTGTGGGTAAATTTTGATACGGCAAGATAATAATCGAGACGGCACACAACCCATTGATAATCACGTGTGTGTGGAACATGGATAGGCTATATGTTTATTCTTAAAGAGTTTTAGCGCAATTAGGGCGATGTATAAATGTTGGTTATCGTGTTTTTGTGGTTTGCTTAGTGTGTAAGATCACTATAAAGTAGGCATGCTTATTGTCTTTTTTTTTTAAAGAGTTTTTTATTATTTATTTATTTGGATAAAGTTATGTTGAACAAATCTTGTATTCAAAGGATGTGTCAAAATCTCATGCATTGAATATTTGATAGAGTTAGTGGATCCCACTAATTCAACCACCTGCATTGATTTGAGATACAAAATTTAAATAAATATTTATGCAGCATAGCATTGCTTTATTTATTTAATTTAATTTTTTTTGTTTGGGGGGTGGGGGGGTTAGTTATGCTTATTTTTTGATTGAATGTAGAAGGTTTGCATAACATGAATTTTTTGATAAGAAACAAAGACTTTCAGATTCAGAAATTTATTTATCCATTCTATGATGTTGGTTTCATTGTTTTTCAAGTAAATTGTGTTGGTGTATATTCTTCAATATGGAAAAATTGCTTATTAAGATTTATGGAATGATATTAAATTTAGAAATAAGCTAAACAGAAACACGTAAATATGCTTAATGTAATTATTAGCAAAACAGGAACATGCAAGGAAAAATAGTAACATACTAACATGTAACACTGCAATAAATAAATGAATTGAACATTACACAAATCCACGAAAGTTTTCTCGAACCGATTAGTGGGTCTCATTTTAATTTATGCTCAAAGTAGGCCAAAAATCAGATTTTCTGCGTTAGTCCAACAAATTGATCATGATTTATTGGTTTAGGTCTATTACTAGTTTGCAAGATTGAGGAGGTACTTGTTTTGTTTAAAATGAAAATCATTACTTTGTTACGAAATTAAAAAGAAAAGCATTTAGTGTCAACTGTTATTGATAGTTCAAGAATTTTTGTTCACAACTGGTAATGGAAATGATGGTGATAGACATAGATTATGAAATTAAAAAGAACAATGCATTGGAACAAAATTTTGATCTTTGATTATAACATAATCAGAGGGTTATTGATCTTTTCGTATTTTGATTGGCTTGAAGCTTTTGTGCTGACATGAAAGTGCAAGTATATGTTTTTCTGCCTTGGATATAATGTGTATGTATGGCCATAGGCTTGATTGGGGGTTTATAAAGTTCAGTGGTTGTTTTATTTTTCTGCACAGCTCCTGTTATTCCAAATATCCAATCATTGGAAATTTCAGAGCAGAAGCCACCATCAACTCTTCTGGATGGTAGGGAGAAAAAACTTCCCATAAAACGGCCTGACAACGGGGGCAAGCTTGCAATCAGGGAGGTAAGGCTTCTCGTCAACCATTTTCCTGTCAGTTTCGATCCAAAGAGGATGGTATTCCACTATGACGTGGATATTAAACCAGATATGTCTCCACACAATTGTTCTGCAAAGAAATCAATGTCAAAATCTGTTCTGCGTTTGATCAAGGACAAACTATTCTCTGATGATCCAACGCGATTTCCTCTGAACATGACTACTTATGATGGCGAGAAGAACATTTTCAGTGCAGTGCCATTGCCCACGGGGAATTTCAAGGTGGAATTGTCTCGTGGGGAAGAGATGAAGAGCCGCTCCTATATATTGACAGTTAAGTTGGTAAACGAGCTGAAGTTTTCCAAGCTAGAGGATTACTTGAGTGGAAACCTTTTGTGTATCCCTCGTGATATACTACAGGGGATGGATTTGGTAATGAAGGAGAATCCGTGTAGGCATAGGATCTCTGTTGGGCGAAGCTTTTATTCCAAAGAGTTCAGGGAGCAAGATGACCTCTGGTGGGGCGTTGCAGCGTTTAGAGGCTTTCAACATAGCCTAAAGCTCACCTCCCAGGGTACAGTCTTATGTTTGGACTCTTCAGTTATGGCATTGCGTAAACGATTGCCGGTCATAGAATTCCTTATGGAGCATTTTGATGTAAGTGATGTCAGAAAGTTGAAAAGAGGAATGATGACAAGTGCATTAAAAGGATTGAAAGTTAATGTAACTCACCGCAACACCACACAGAAGTTTATTATAGCAGGGTTAAGCAGTCAAAATACAGGAGATCTTAAATTCCCTCTTGAAGATCCAGAGGGGAAGCATCCACCAAGGGAAATTAGCCTTATCGAATATTTCAGGGAGAAATATAGGACAGAAATTATGTACAAGGATGTTCCCTGTCTAGACTTGGGGAGAGGTGATCGAAAAAATTATGTGCCTATGGAATTTTGTACTTTGGTGGAGGGGCAAAGGTATCCGAAGGAAGACTTGGATAGAGACACAGACTGGTTATTGAAGAAAAAATCAATGCCTCGACCGAAGGAAAGGAAAAACATTATCTGTGAGATGGTGCAGGCTGAAGATGGACCTTGTGGGTATGTATTTGCACTTAAACCTCTACATTTCAGCATAATTTGTTGCACAGTAGTTTGGTTGCTGCTCTAAATTGTTTTTTAACAAGATATTTTTGGCGTAGAATATTGTGTGGTAGTGGTAGTTTTATATTAAGCCTCTTCATTTTTTAGCACAATTTTACTTAATCCTCCACGCTTATGTAGTAAAATATTGTGTTGATTTTCATTTTGTCGATAATGCAAATGTCAATCCCTTTTTGTGGTCTTTCAGAGATGTAGCTCAAAATTTTGGAATTGTAGTTGACACTGCCATGACAAGAGGACTTGGTCGTGTTATTGAACCACCTACTTTAAAAGTTGGCAATGGGAATATGATAAGAGTTGACAGGGAGAAATGTCAATATAACCTCGTTGGTAAATCTGTGGTGGAAGGCAAGCCAGTCGAGCGATGGGCCTTGATAGATTTCAGTTCGTTTGATCGTTATAATAAGCTGAATTCTGGTGTTTTCATTCAGAATCTGAGAAATAGATGCAGAAGTCTAGGCATCCGCATGGAGGAACCTGTTGTGCGCCGTTCCACAGACATGCATGAATTCTCTGGTGTCAATGCAATTCAAGAACTTCTTGCAAGTGTGGTTAAGGAGGCTAATGGGAAATGTAAGGGTCCGTTACAAATTATTGTTTGTGTGATGACCGTGAAGCATCCTGGAAAAAAGGATCTTAAATGGGTCTCTGAGATTCAGATTGGGGTATTGACTCAATGTTGCTTGTCCAGTACTGCCAACAACAAAGGGGATGATCAGTATTATGCTAACGTTGCTCTCAAGATTAATGCCAAAGTTGGGGGTAGTAATGTTGAACTAATTGAACGACTCCCCTGTTTTGAGAGTGAAGAACATGTTATGCTTGTGGGGGCTGATGTCAATCACCCTGGTGCGTGGAATGCAACATGTCCATCAATCGCCGCGGTTGTTGCGACAATGAATCCAGCTGCCAATCGTTATGCCGCAAGGATTTGTCCCCAGGAGCACCGAAAGGAGAAGATTCTGAATTTTGGGTCCATGTGTTTGGATCTAATCAACACCTATGATCGGCTTAACAAAACCAAGCCAAAAAAAATTCTGATATTTCGAGATGGGGTAAGTGAAGGCCAATTTGAAATGGTTCTTAACGAAGAATTACTTGATATAAAGAAGGCTATATGCACTGAAGATTACCACCCAACAATCACTCTTGTTACTGTCCAGAAGCGACACCCGACTCGACTGTTTCTTGAGAATGAGAGGGATGGGGGTGCATCTGGTAACGTGCCTCCAGGAACAGTTATAGATACAACAATTTGTCATCCTTTTCTATTTGATTTCTATCTTTGCAGCCATTATGCAATCCTCGGGACAAGCAAGCCGACGCACTACTGTGTCCTCTGGGATGAGCATAAATTTACGTCTGACCAATTACAGAAGCTCACATATCACTTGTGCTTCACCTTTGCACGATGCACCAAGCCTGTCTCGCTTGTCCCTCCAGTTTACTATGCTGGCCTTGTTGCGTTCAGGGGACGTGAATATCAAGAGGTGGCAGTGGAGTTGCAGTCTCATGCTTCAGCCGCATCTTCATCCTCTGGTTCACCATCATCATCTTCGACTTCAGCTGCTTCATTTGATGAGAGGTTCTACAAACTTCACCCAGACCTCGAGAACGAGATGTTTTTCATTTGAGCGGCCAAACATGGTCGTCTAAATTTCCTTCACCGTTGAGCTATTCTCTATATCGTTCGCTGCTGGAAATGCCCAAACGCCACTCAAATCTCCTTTCCTAGGAGCACTAGTGAACGAGTGTGTGCGTGAATCTAATGGGGTTTCAAGTCCATTTGCTGCCTGTTTGCATGGTTCTTAAAGCCATGTGGAACTAGAGGCCGGCATATGTTTAAGTACTGTTTTCATTTTCATTTTGTGTGTTTTTGTGTGGATGTTTGTTTGGTTTACTGGTTACCTGTCATGTTGGTAAAACATGAGTATAGTCAGTTGCGTTTGATGTTTGTGTGTGTGTGTTGATCAAGCTATGGAGAATGTAATATTTACAAATAAATAAAGGACTTGATGCTTGAGTAAGTTTCTAATTTGAACTGAATTTGAATGTACATGTCTTTTGGATTGTTCAACTATATGCCCAAATCTATATGTGCTTATGCCTACAACTGAAGTTCTTATTGCTGATTCTTTGGGTTCAATAATGTTCTATTAGAAAGCTGGTGCACAAAGAAGATGAGTAGGGGAGTGGGCGATTTGTAAATGAATATTTCTTATCAAATTTCAATCTTGACGATTGAATACTATTTCTTATCAGAAAATTAGAGGTTAGTCCTCTTTAAAGAGACTTGGACAATGAGTTGTCTGTTTTTTTGCAAACATACCAGTACCAATAAAATTATATCAAACTCATGTCCATTCAGAAGAAGAATTCACCAAAATTATATTGTAGTCCTTATTTGAGAACATGTAACTGTTCCATGTTCCTGTATGTATTTTCTATTGGTACAAAATTTTTAGCATCAATTTATTCATGTCAATTCTAGATTTGTATAATGTTTGTATTTTCCCTTTCAAGTTGAAGTAAAACAACAAAGAAAGGCAATGATCTTACAAAACCTAAAACAAAACCATAAATAGGAACCAAATACCCAAGAATTGGATTTCCACAAGCACACACTCGAATGCAAAACCAGTAGAAATGTATCCCATAAGTGTGACCAAAGTAGGACCTCCACTGCAATTGCAACTTAGAGGATACCCACTGCTTCACCTTGTATATTAGCAACAGGAAAGAAACAATAAAGGAAAGACTAATTGTGCTCGTTTATAAGCCAAAATATGAAAGACTTGAAATTCTTCAGGTTCAATTAGGAAGTGATATACATTTATTCATAGAATTCATACTCACAGAAAATTCTCAATGCCAGAATGTGTACAGCCAAAATATGGAGACATTGAATTCTATGTTATTGTTCGTATCCCGTTCATAACTATAAACATTATGAAGAAATAGTGGAGAAGAAAACCATTTTCTTTTGTGGAGAGAAAAACTCTTGGACATTTTAAAAGAAAAAAAAAATGAAAGAATTCAAACCAATATTCTTTCAAGGGTAATATGGTCATAGACATACACATAAATATAGGTTCTGAAATAAATTAAAACGAAAAGGAATGATATAATAGTGATTTTGATATACAAGTACAAAAATAACATATTAGTAATTATAACTTTTTATAAGGGTATAATAGTAAATTAAAAAATTTTCATATTACCGTAGTTTTATTATTAGTATATACATATAGATATAACTATAAATAATTATTTGGATTAATCTCAAATTGCACCTTGAAAGATCATTCGAATTTCAATTTGCACCCTCAAAGATCAAAAATCTTAATTTGCACCTTCAAAGATAAAAATTTATATTAATGCGCACCTAAAACTAACAACCGTCAGTTTACTGTCTAAAATTTAATAGATAAATTATACCTAGATCCCCTCAGACTTGTCACTTAATCATCTAGACCCCTTACATTTTAAATGTTACTCTTACACTTCCTAATGTTTGTGCACGTGTAATACTTAAAACCCTTTATCGTTGATATCTGTTAAAAAATTTGGTTTCATCATAATAAAAAAATATAATTTCATATTACCCTTTATTTTGTGGCCCCATTATACTCTAAATTTCAAAATCAAGCTTATCATTTGAATGTCTAATGTATTGCAGATATTTATATAATGTTCTTTATATCTAATACAATACATCGCTTAAATAGAATTATTTAAATGCCCAATTGAGAGAATATTTTTAGTCATATTTAGATTCTCAAGGGATGTAGGTGTAATATTTCAAATGAGAGAAATCTAGGTGATTGAGTGACAATCATGAGGGGGTTTAGGTGTAATTTATCCATTTAGTTTTAGACGATAAACTGATGGCTGTTAATTTAGGGTGCGCATTGATATAAATTTCTATTTTTTGAAGATGTAAATTAAGATGTTTGATCTTTGATGGTACAAATTGAGATTCAAATAATTTTTCGGGGTGCAATTTGAGATTAACCCTAATTATTATTACAACAATAATTATAAGATTAAAAATTTTCATTAACCATACAAGAGAAAGTATAAGAATTAGTTGTTTTATTAAGGGTATTATAATAAATTAAAATTTTTTCACATAACTGTCTTTTATTAGTAGTAGTATAAATGTAGATATGCATTTCAATGCAAAGTTAATAAAATTCTTTTTTTTTGCTGAACAATTAATAAAATTCTCGTGATTCTATTTTTCCATTTCATTTACCAAGACCATGTTTTAAGGAAAAGAATTGGTGGGTGATGGCAATTAGTACTACTCATGAAAGAATAGAAGAATATTTTATTGTGTTTAGTGGGTGATCCACACATACTCAATCTCTATGTACAAAAGAACATCTATATGGGACCAAGTATTTTCACTATTAATACCTAGAAGTTGTAAAACCTTAGGGAGCGTCATACCATACTTAACTTTGGCCAGTGTCTCTATGTAATTTATCAAATTAGAGGGGAAAGAGTTTGGGAAATTTTCTTTTTTTACTTTATTATCAATGCAGTATGTGTGTTGTACGTGAATATTTTTTATATACAAAATATTAATAAAAAATATTATGTATATGTGATTTATTCGGTTTCAGAGGGGTGTTTGAGAGAGAGGGAGGGAAAGAGAGAAGATAAAATGTTTTCAAACTGGCTGGTGAGAGAGAGAAGTTAAAGGTTTTCCAATTGAATTGTATGGCAGTTGGAAAATTTTGTCCCGTTTTCTGAAAGAAAGAACTTGTTCAAAAACAAGGTTAAACAAAAAAAATAAAATTAAGAGACATGAATGATGTCGCTGTCACTGTCTATTTAGTTTCCAACGAGCAATCATTTAGTTGAGAATAAAAAAAGATGGAAAAGTATATTACTATGTTATAAATGATGTTATAAATCATAGTTAATACATAGTGGAAGAGTCATGACCCTCTGTCTACCTAATTTTCTTAATGATAATTAATATCAATGTATATATTAAACTGATTTTTTTATCTGATCTGTACATATAATTGTGATTTATAGTTATCTTCTTCATTGAAATCTATGGTTTTTAGTCCATAAAATATTCAATTATTGTTTAAATGATCATAATGACATGGTCCATTAAGTTTTTTTAATGGAAATAACCATGTGTTATTCTTTCAGACGGTATCACATGACCAACACGTGATCATTTCTATCAAAAACTTAACAAACTGTCTGTGTATGAATCATTTAAACATCAACTAAATATTTTAGGGGTTAAATTGACAAAAATAATAAAATGAAGACCAAACTGTCAAAACATGCGTATTTCAAGGACTAAATTAGTCTATTAACGCTAAAATATAATATATTACTCTATAATATATATTTTTAAAAAATATTAAAATTTTAAAATTCAAGTGTTACGTAAAAATATACTATAATTGTTTATATAAACTCTTAATGAAACATGAAACGATTAGAGTGATTGAAGAATTATGTTGATTTAACATAAATTATTTTAAAAAAATACGCAAAACATTATTTTTTATCTTAAAAATAAAATGGTTAAAATTTTGGATAAAAAAAATTCACATATGTAAGTATAATATTATCTTTATATTTAAATGAATAATATTATATTGATGAAATTTTTGAAGATTTTTTGAATGTTTTATTGAAAATTATAGTGATACATATATTTTTTAAAGGTAACGTAGCCAATTAAAAAGTTTCATAAATACTGATATTTATATATAGTAAATAGAGAATTAAAAGAGATGTTTGGAATAATTTATAAATTTAAACACATAAATATGCGATGATAATTTATATATTCAACTACGGAAGGATACTGTGATGTTTAAAAATTTTTGTAAGAGTAAAATAACGAATCAAAATTTTTTATACTTAGGCAAAAGTTTCATTTTTTATTAGTAGTATAGATGGAAAAAAATACATATATATCGACATAATGTTATCTTTATATTTGAAAAGAGTAAAAAATATTAATGAAATTTTTGAACATTTTATTGAAAACTATAATAATGCATATATTTTTTTAAGGGTAACGTAGTCAATTAATTTTTTTTACAGATATTGATATTTATACAAAGATAATAAAGAATTAAAAGAGATGTTATAGGATAATTTAGAAATTTAAATATACAAAGATGTAATTGTAATTTAGATATTTGACTATAGAAAGATAGTATGATATTTAGAATTTTTTATAAGGGTAAAATAGTAAATCAAAAATTTTCACTTACGTTGCTTTTATTAGTAGTATAGATTAATGTTGAGACTAATCGAGCTTGTGGTCCAGTGATTTACATTCCCTTGTGTAGGGTCCTTCCTGACTTCTATAAAGTTAGCAAACATGGTTTGATTCACAGCCCTTCCACTACTCCAATTGACAGTTTTGAAAGGCGAGAGTTGGTTTATAAAATGTTTGCGATTTTTCATCGATGTGGCCTTATTGGTGGGCTTTTCTTGTGGGTGTGAGTTACTATGATCACACCCAACACACCCAAGTAGGGGTTCCACTCTAATTGCCTCTCGAACCCTTTTTACACAGAAAAAAAAAAATTAATTTTAAGAATTTTGATAAATAAAATAATAAATAAATTCTTTTACAATCAAAATCTTCACTTTATATCACTTTTCATGACAGTGTAAACCCTACCTATGGTGGATAACAGGTTAC